AGTAGAAACAAACACACGCGTGCATGTGTGTTCTCGTTTGTATGTGTCAGCTTCATTTATACCGTGTTTGCGACTCCTTTCTCCATCGCTGACACCAAGCTGAGCTAAGCTGCCATTGCTTTACAGTTTTTTGCCACTTTTTTTTCATTCCTTCTGTGCTAAATTAATTCTTTTCTTTTACTTTCATCCTGTTCTTTCAATTGCTCTCACATTCGTTGTGTGCTGTGGATTTATTGAATTGCATATAAAAAATGCATTTCTTTTATTTCTGTGCGATCAACCGACTGTGCGCTGCCATAGCTCGTTTATTCTTCACATCCTTAGATTACTAGCAATGGTAGTTTATTGAAAGTTGTCCATACTAGTTAGCGCACAGTGGGCGCAGAGAAGACAATATTGTAGTACATTATTGTTTCAATATGAATAAAATAATTTAAATTAAATTAAATTAAATTAAATGATATAAATGAAATAAAGGAAAGATAAAAATTAAATTAAATTAAACAAAAACAAGAGAAGACGTTAACTTTGGCTACATCCTTACCATTTTTTAAGCACAAAAGTCTATAAAAAATGTTTAATACCCTGTTCTGCTGTGAACCGTATGTGTATGCCAGTGAGGGCGTTCTGCATCGATCAAAAAACATAATAGTCAGAAGAGGCAAGGTCTGGACTATAAGACGGTTGAGGCAAAACCTCTCAGCCGCTGTAGTCCAAATAGTTTTTAACCGGTCTTGCAACATGAGGCCGAGCGCTGTCATTATGAAGAATTATTGGCTCGTGTCTAGTCGCAAATTCCGGGCGCTATTCGGCAATCGCTCGCTTCAATTTGATATCAGTGTCGCCAACGTTGCCTAAAGCGTCACCTTGGCGTCATAAATATTCAGCTTTGCCATTGATTTGGCTGGTTGGCCAGGTTTCACATATGATTTTTTACATTTAGGCTTACTTTCAGTTTCTCATCTCCCTATTCTTTTGGCCGCTCAGAAGAAGCTTCGTCTTTCAAGCCAAAATAACCAATTTTATGTCATGCGCGTGAGCTCAGCTAGAGCATGTTCACCATAAACTTTCACCAAAATACGACAATTTTCGGCTGAAATTTAAAAAACCTTTTTCAGGCACAAAGCTAAACATATTTGAGTGAAAAGACGAAAAAACGTTAACTTCGGTTGCACCGAAGCTATAATAGCCTTCACAAATACAAAGGCTCTTTACAAGAACTTGATTTCGATCGTTCAATTTGTATGGCAGCTATATGATATAGTGATTTGATCTGAACAATTTCTGCGGAGAATACATTGTTGCCTTAAATAATAATCCATGCCAAATTTCGTGAAGATATCTCGTCAAATGAAAAAGTTTTCCATACAAGTACTGAGAGACTAGTTCTCATATAGACATGCTGATCATTTATGTATACATTTTATAGGGTCTCCGACGTTTCCTTCTGGGTGTTACAAACGTCGTGGCAAACCTAATATACCCTGTTCAGAGTATAAAAAAATGTTGTTTTCGCTTCAAATAATTGATATATGCTGAAAAAGACGCAGCTATGATTCTAGCTTTCCAACGCATGCCGAAATATTGGAACAATTATATTTTATGAATTTAGGCAAATATTTACATAAATTAGTCTAGTTAATAGAAATTTTATTTAAGAATTTCTACATCTAATACGAAATCACAAAAAATATAGTAAAAATTGTGTATTTGTTAAACCAGTTTTTCGTTCGCCTTTATTGAAATCGATAACTAAATATTATTGGCGTCCTTATTATTGATCAATGCTTTAATTACAGTTGTGTTCACCCCTAGAGTTGTATAAAAGTCAGACCATATTACCATTAAGATTACCTATCTACGCGTTATGAATCAGTTTTTCATTCCTTTTCCCTCCTTTAATCTGCTACCGCTCATGTTGGTATTCTAAAGAACAGCGGATAGATTCTTTTTACCGTTTTTATATGCACAATCGAAACATATAGCCCATTTACATATATACAAATACTCATACGTGCTAATGGCTATTGGCAGTTCAGCAAGTACATGTGTGTAGGTGCGCTGACTTGCCTACTCGCCGGTCTCCAAACAGCGCTCATTTGTCATATGAATGAAATGCAAAACAAGCGCCGTCGTGGCATGATGCCAATACAAGGGTACATACCTACACTCACAAACTTATAAATGAATTTATATATATAGTAGTTATCCAATATACTCGTATAAATATATATATATGTCTGTTTCATTCAAAGGAATTGAATTTGCACTCAGAATTTTACTTCTGCGCCACCTTCACATACAGACACGCGCGTAATGAAAATTCATATACATATGTATGTGTGTGTGTGTGTCAACGTACTCACAGGCATAAACTTTCATACAGTTAAATATATATACTACATAAATGTATATGTGTGTATGCTCGCGCCTAGTTGGTTGTGCATGCGCATACCCTATGAAAAACTATCACTCCCATTGTTTTTGCATTGAAATCGTTAGCTTTAGTTTTTTCATGCCGAATGTTTGCTTCGCGTGTCGCTTCCGTTCAATTTTGTAAAATTGTATTTTATCCTTTACGATATTGTCCATTGATCACCGCCAAGCACTGGCTCAAGTGCCTGAGTCTTTTATAGGTATATAGTATGTATGTAGATAAAAGTACGTGTATGTGTATATTTACTCATGTGCACAGTAACATATTGATTAAAATCACCTTTTCCTCTTATTCAACATATTCTGTTCCTTGCCACACGGTCTGTGCCCTCTGCGCGCCCCCTCTCTGCTGTAGCCTCTTGCTGTAAATGATGACCACTTCGATTATTTGACTTCGTTTGATCCTTGCACAAAGGAAATATAATTGGCCATTTCCATTTTAGCCATTTCAGCCAGAGCTTACAACTCTTCACGTTGCTGCTTTTCATCAATTTTGCTGAAAGAATGGAGCGCAAGTAAAGTAGTGTTGACACACACGCATGCAAACACGCTTATACTTGTGCATATCCTTCAGCATTTATCTATTTAAATATTTGTGGAAGCTGAACTTTCTTCCTCTTTTCGCCTCTACTCCGCCGTCTTGTGCTAAGCATTCGTTGCAGTTGACTGGAATTTAATTTGAAAATTGCACACTATTCACACACACACATACTTTCACATACACTAGCTGAACTGATTAAATATTTGATAGCTTCCTAAGCAAACTCGTCGTGTCGTGCCAGGAAAAAAAATTCAATTTTGATTTCCAACTACGAAATGTGTCCAAAGCTCATTGCCGACCTTAAAATATACAATAGCTACTGTTGCCTCGTTTTGTGGCCGCCGCCTTATGGGCAATTTCATTTGAGCAAACACACTGTCACACACACAAATACTATTACCACACGCTTGCGTCGCTTAAACGCCACAAAATATCCAATGACATTCAGTAATATTTTATTATTCCATTCGCTCATCAATTCAAGTTGCTGCAGTAGCTGCAAGTTCACTATTCTACTGCATATAACTGCCTACAAGCCCTGCATACGTCCTTGTGCCACAGCGCCCTCTAACGCCTACACAATTTCTCTCTCACTCCATTTCCCACCACGCTCCCCCGCCCACTTCAATATTGTTCCTTTGGCAACAGCCTTTTTCATGTCAACTCAATGATTTTTCCACTCGTTTGAAATCATGAAATCATTGTTGTTGCTGGGCGTGTTCTATTTAACCAGTTACCAAATAGCAGCTCACAAGCTCACATCTATAGCAACAGCATCCTAAAATAGTAACGGTTAAAAAAAATTGAATTCAAGGCATATAAAGTGAATTGTTTAAAATTCTCTTGTAATTTTGCTTTTCTTTCTTTTTTTTTTTTGTTTTCTTTTCTGACTTTTAATATTTTAGTCGCTTGTCAGTGCTTTGTTATCTTTGGCCGCTTTATTCGTTTACTTAAGGCTTTTGGAAATGACTTTGCACACTTTGGTGAGTGTGTATGCATGGTTTTAACCTTTTAACTCAATAGTCAAGTGCGTCCTTATCTTGTTTACAATGCTCTATAACCTCTACAGCCGCTGACCTTAAGCAAATGCTATTGACGTTTATTGCGATGCAGTGAAACTAAATTGAAGAGGAAGCTGCTCTAAAATTCATACTCACACATATATATATATATATATATATATATACGCATATATAATATATATACAAGTCATATTCGTACGAAAGCACACCTTTTCAATTTTATTATTTTTTCACAAAGCTTTTTATATACTTCTAGTCAAGTCTTTATTTTCGGTTCCAAAGCCACAAATTTGAAGCTTTTTGGAGGTGCTTTGTTTTTGTTAGAAACATAAATAAATATTATCAAGATATTGCATACGAACTTGGGTGCTTAAATGTAATATTTGCGTATATACTACAATATATAGAAAATAGTTTGTTATATTTTTCTGTTTAAAAAGCTTATTACAGGGGTGTACTAGAGAGTCTATTAATTGATTTCCTTAAAGTTTTTTTACTAAACTTTTAAGTACATGCTTAAATTTTAATCACATATAACAGGACCTGCTATATATAATATATGAAAGTATTTTGTTAAAAGCTCAGAAAAGTCTTTGAGCATTTGAGCTTTCGCGCAAAATAAATAAAAGGGTTCAAAAAAAAGGAAAAAATTCTTTAAAGTTAAATAAATATTCATATAATTCCGTACTACGCCTTAAAAGCTTTGTGATTTCAATTGAATAAAAAAAATCGAGAAAGCTCCTCATGCTTTCAAGAAAACATATGAAGCACATTTTCTAATGATCTAAATCATTAGGCATCTTTTAGCGAAATTCTAAAGCTCTTTAAGTTGGCTGGCACAAAAAAAAACTATTATAAGTCTAAAAGCTTATTGAACAGCTGTTAAATACTTATTAATAATCATTAATAAACTTATACTTTATTAAAAAAAATTACAAAAATGTTTTACCTGTTTTCATTATCATCACCCATTTTTTTTTTTTTTTGTTTTTTCATTGCAGTACCAAGTAAACCATTGAACTTAACCGTTTTGAATGTAACATCGACCAGCATCACTATGTCATGGTATCCACCGAAAAATCAAAATGGCGCCATTGCCGGTTACCATGTATTTCATATACACGATAATCAAACTGGTGTGGAAATTATGAAGAACTCACGCAACTCGCAGGACTCTCTCATCATTTTCGAGCTGCCTAACTTAAGTAAGTGACAATTTCAATTAACAAAATATATTACTTTTTAAAACATATAAATAAAAATTACTAAATAGCATCAGTAAAAAATGCACAAAAATGCACAAAAATTTAATCGTTTCAATGTTAAACTAAAACTAAATAAACCAAAAGTATTTTATCTCTTAAAAACAAATTATTTGCGCATACATACAATACATAATGAGCGGAAGGCAATTTCTTTCTGAGAAACTTGTAGTATTAGCCTCAAAAGGCATGTATTACATATATTTATGGAATTCGTCTAGCGCTGAATATAATTCAGCTTCATTTTTTCAACACGAATTTAGCTTAAATTTTATCACAAACTACCCACTCGTGTTTATAACTACTGAAAGTCCGAATATTAATATTTAACAACATAAAATACATAAGAATACCAAACAACTTTCATTTTTCCATAAAATATTCCAATTCCGTGCCAAAATACTAATTCAGCAGTACTTTCGTTCAAGGCACTTACTTAAATTGTAAATAGCTATATTTTTGCATTTAATGCACTGAATTTCAAACGCAACTGATATAAAGCAAAATAACATCAGTGTGTTATCATCTTTAGCTATTCAACGGCCATATTATCATTTAATGACTAAAAAGAGAATAGCTCAACGTAAAAATGCTTGTTATTGTGTTTTTGTGCATATAATAAATATATTTATTTTATTAACGATATTCGACAATATTTGTGACTGCATTTGCATTAATAAATATAATAGTAAAACTCATATGAATAATGCCTCAAAGTCCTCTACTTATTCAGCAAGTGGTTTATGTTAATAACAGATGGTCATAGAGATTCAGCATTCAGCTTTAATGTCACACATAATAATGCATTTAACATTCTCTTTATTCATTTTGACAACAATTTCGAAAACATTTAGAAGCATTACCTAAATAGTAATTCAGCTGAAAAGCTTAGAGCTACTGACTTCCTGCAAATCTGTCAACAATCAACGTTTTATTTCTATAAAATATTTACTGTCAAAATTTAATTTTTCACCCACAATTCGCAAATGCTACGTGCCAAGGTGGCCCTTAGTAAACTTCTACTGCCTCTAAAGGCACTTTTCCAAAAGCCTGCAATGTTAATTACCATTATTTCACTTCGATTTGCAATAATTTTCGCCCACAATCCACAACTCAAGTAGGCAATTATGCGATGAATTGTTAATGACGCTAGAAATGCCACCAATTGCAAATTGTGAAAAGAGACGCCCCGTAACAGCGCCGCCCTCTAGCCATCATACTTTGAAAGTTCGCGTCAAAAAATCTCAAAGAGCGGGTGAAAGCCACTCACTTAGTGCATATAACTTTTTGGGTATTGTTGACGCTTTAGGTGTCTGCTGTTGTTGGTGCTGTTTTTATTACTATTATAGTACCTGCTTTATTCTCGTGCAATGTATAGTTGTATTTCGATTTCGAAGTGCCTACTTTTAGGCGTGCTAAGTAATATAAGTTGGTCAATTATTGTTTGAAGTGGCATTGACGGGGACATTTTGGCTCTATAATTGTCGTTTTTTTTTCTTACTTATATTTCGAGATTATATTGGCGTTGATGTAATTATAACTTGGTTTAAAAAAGTCTAAAATAAGTCGATTAACGTTTGCGCTTAATTGACTCTAAGAATGAATTGAATTTTATTATTACTTTTGAATGTTTGTGTAGGCGTTCATGGGTAAGTGTGATATAAAAATCCCAAAGCGGTAATCCTAGGATTAATTAGTAATCAGTATGTGTGAAAATATTACAGCTTAAATATTTTTCTGACTTAATTGCTACTTACACAAAATTTCGGCCCAAAAAAATAATATAATTTAAAATTTTAGTAAATCTCGATACTCTAAGTAGACTTTTTAGAGTTTTAATTTAGAAATTCGCTGCAACAATTAGACCGTTTTGATGAAAATTTTTATTAGAAATTTATTACATTATCTTATTACTAATATCAAATGCCAAGCAGATGGGTAATTGTAGATGTTTAAATGGTAATGGCGAATATGAAGAAATCATTGGAATCCGTGGCAGAAGTACAACTTCACCACGGATTAAATTTTCCACTCAAAATAGTGATTTCAAAAATGTTGCACATGACGTTTTTATGACAAATCCTCATTGGTCCTTGTACATTCACTATTTCCGTATAGAGTAGCATAACAGTATGAATGTTTAGACACTATACACCGTACACATGTCTATAGTCTTAATAGTTTAAACTATAATTATGCTATCTTAGAATCTGATCTCAGCGCCATCTACCAGGCAAAAATATACTTCTACAAGTACAGGCACAATAACGTTCTAACATCTGCGATGGTAGCGCAGTCTACCGGATCCAATGTTAAACATTCCAAAATAAACAACTATTTATAAATGAAAAATTAGTTAAATAAAAATTTTCCAGTTTACCAGATTGTGAATCTAAACCATCCTCGAATCCCCTTGAACTCACACAAAAAAATTCATCAAAATCGATCCAGCCGCCTAGTAGGAGTTCAGTGACATAAATACGCAAATAAGAAATATTTTATATACCTTTGTAGAAATATATTATTAAAAAGAGAAAATATATTTTTCATATATTACCAACAACTCGAGAAGAAAACTTCATATATGTTTGAAAAATTTCGATTTCATACGCCTTTAGAATTTTCGGTAGTGCAAGCTAGGTAAATTTTCGTCAAATTTCCATGAACTCCTTCATTTTGGAAAACTCTCATCACGCAAATGTCTTTTGACAAAACTCTTCGTCGGATAATTTCTTCTTTGTATTTTTTGAAATTTCAAATTTTTTGACCTTAGTGTACCTAATGGTCTTATAACAGTAGTTTGCTGAGATAGTTGCAAACCTTAAATATGCCAGCGCACACTTTATTAGCTAACTTAGAAGATTTTCATAATGAGGACTCATGCGATTTTAAATGAAAACTTCGAATATAATTAATGACACCCAATGAAATTCTTCCCTAACCCCTAAAAGCCGACTACAAATTGCACAACTTTTCGTCGTGCATTGCCTGTGCCACCAACAGCAGCAGCAGCAGCACCAACAAAGCTGGCGTCATTCAACGCCACCGGCAGCCGTCAGTCTTCTCAGCCGTTTTAATATACTTTCATGTGAAAGAAAAATAAAATTAATTTGCAACTGACAAATTTGCATGCACAACAGCATTCGCTACAAACATTCACATACACACATATACACAAGTGAGTACACAGCTCACGCTGCGCCTGCTTGTCAAAGCATATTTGCATAAGTGATGTACATATCCGTTGTCAGCCGGCGCGGGAGGTTTAAAGCGCGGAGTAGCGCGATGCTAGTAATTAATTTGCCTCGCCAGAAAGCGCAAAAATAAGCAAAGAAAGCGCTTATAAAGAAAAGTCACACTGTATGCATTGTTACTGGGCGACTGCATCTGTGTCTATGTGTGGGTGTTGTGCACCCGCTGCCGAAAAATATGCAATTTCATGCAGCTGTAAGACAGCAGCGTGGCAGCGGAGAAAGAAGGTGTTTAAAAAATTGCTAACGAAATTTGCGACAAAGCAAAGATGCTGGAAAGTTCAACAAGGAAACAAAAGCGGTGCGAGTGACAGTGGTGGGTGGCAGGTGGCGGGAGTGGTGCGCGGCGGCTGAAGTGGCGGTGGTGAAGGCGCTCAAGTGCAACTATTGTGAAAAGGCAAGCACTTATGTAATTTGCATATAAAGATTTGGGGGCGTGGTAGTAGTGTGCGTACAAATGTGTGTATATGCAAATTTGTATATGCTCGTGTTTATGTGTTTGTATACTCTCACATGTGTGTATATGCTTTTATATGCATTTAAAAGCATATATATATATATATATGCATATGTGTTTGCGACCAGCAAACGCTGATGCAATCTGAAATTAATTACTAACGGCATGCCTTTGCATTCATCAAGACAGCATATATTTGCACACACACACACACCCCACACACACGCGCTCACACGCATGCGGGCACACATTATGCGTGGCAAACAAGCAAACACAAACTTGCCACATGCTCTTATGCTGCAATGCAATTTTATAATTTCAACATTACCAACTTTTTTCTCCTGCAATTTAATAAAATATTACCACTCCTTTTGTTTTTGCTTGTGCTGGTAGTCTGCTTTTCGGCGCTATCAAAATTAATTACGCCCAGCGCTGTCATGTAAGCGCACACAAGCGTCACTATGTATGCGTTATGTATACACATATAAATATGCATGTTTTCGTTTGTAATTGAAATTGAAACTATCTTTGCCGCAATGCACAGAGATTTTTTAATTATTAAATGCTACCTTTTTTAAATTAAAATTCTTGCATGCCTAGTATTGCTTTCATTTAAATATTTTCACATAACTTTTTTTCCGTTGTTTTTGCTTTTGTAAATGTGCGTGCACGGTACTTTGTTAGCTTTCGCATGTTCGCCCGATTTTATAGGTGACAAACCGCGCGCGCATATTTTAATTACATTACGTTGCATGTGGCATCGTTAGCACTCCAATAGTGCAATAACATGCATTTCGCACACGCACGTACACACACACACGCACACGTGCGCCAACAACTCTTAAATATTTCTGTCATGCAAACATTGCTTAAGTTGAGTTATTTGCGCATGCAACACTTTATCTTCATTGACAACTGCACTCATACACTGCCATAATTAACAGCACATGGTATTGTTGACATGACAGCGCAAACGCACAGAGCCACATAGATGCGCAGACAAAAGCTGTGCGCTTTGCACTTTAATTTGACTACAGTTTTCCATTTGCGCCAAAGCTGTCAGTTCACATTGGCAGATCGGATGGCACAAGCAACGCATTATTGAGCAATAAATGCGCTGACATACATACATATATACATGCATACTTGTACTAGTACACACATATATATTGTATATGCACATACATATACATACACACACTCTATCATCTGACACAACGGTAAGTTCTCCTCATAAATGATTAAAAAATCGCTCATACGCCCGATCACACACTCACACTCATTGCCCGCTCGCTCGTTCCGTCCATGTGCGTCATCTGACTTCCCTTTAGCCACAACCACTTAGCCACTCATTGCTTACTTGTTTGGCTACTTAACATAAACACTTATTAAACGAGTGACATTTTTCAACATTAAATTAATTGCGACTTGTTATTATCGCTGACATTTTCACCAGTACGCGTAATTGTTGTAATTGTTGTTGCTGTTGTACGCATGAGGAATTCCATTGACTGTTGTGTTCAGTTGAAATTGCAGGCGGCATGCTTGCAACCGCATTAACTGTTATGTTGTTAAAATTTTCATTTAATTAAAAAACAAATGGAAAGAAATGAGATGAAAATGGGAAATACCGGCAACAACAATAACAAATGAACATAGTATACAACAACAATAGCAAATGCATATTCGAGCATAACAACAATTCACCTAGCGACGGTTAACCCGAAAAACGACATTTTCTGAATTTATGGCTTTTTAATAATTCAGCGCGTTCTGCAAGCGTTAATGCTTTTTGAGTAAATGCGTAAATTCATATATTAACATATGTGCATAGTTGCGCAGTGAGAGCAATATACATATTTATCTATATCTATATACATATACAATACATATAAAAATTACTAGTCACGTTTTCCTCGCGGTATCTTCTAAACTACTGAACCGATTTTAGTTGAATTCAGCACACTGTGCCCAGTTTGATTCAACTTAAAAGATAGAATATCTCAATTTTATTGTCAAAAAATATATTTGTTTACGTAAGCATGTTTTCAAAATTCAAAAATAAAGAAATTTCAGTAAACTGTCAATGGAAAATTAATTTTTTTTCCAATGACAAATATTTGTATGAATCATTTACAAAATTAAACCTCAAGTACAATCCCTTGGATTCTTGTACCGGCAATTACAATACATTTTCGCCTTTATTCGTAAATAATATTTTCACCGCATTGAATAGTTTATTATATAAGTAAAAGTATTTAATGTATATTATGCCATAGCATCGCATAACCGAATCTAGTATATGTACAAACACACATACATACATATTTGGAAAAAAAGAGGAGAGAACCAAGAGCCTAACAATGTAGCAGCAACGGCGGCAAACCTCATTTAAAGGACGATGAACCCACAGACTGATTCCGGACATTCATTCGTGGATAGACAGATGACATGGGGACCTGAATTACCACCTAACCCAAATACTGAGTGGGCATGGATGCTTTAGAAAGTATCTATTCCAATTTCATTATGATGTTAGTTCGTATTGTCCGATGTGTACAGAGTGCATAGAAGACTCTGAACACGTATTTTTTCAGTGCCCCCGTTTTTTAAATATTAGGGAAAAGTTAAAATCTACACTCGGTAGTCTAACGGTGGAAACCTTGACAGCACATATGTGTCAGTCCTCTGATAAATAGAAAGCTGTCAGCGAAGTGTCAGCTCTAATCATGACAAAACTGAGATACTTACAACAGATTAGGAGTCAGTCAGTCCGTACTGTAGAGGAGACTTAAATGTCCTTTTCTCTCCCATGAAGTTATACTTGATCCAGCGGTTCGGTGGGAGAGACATAAGTTGGGAGAAGGTTAGGTTTAGCGGATTAAAGTTCTGTACTTCGGCTTTTAATGCTTCCCCCTACTATAAAAAAAAAAAAAATTAAAAAAATAATAAAGAAAACATATTTGGATTACACATATTGCTTGTTGCTAATGAACAAGGCGTTTTTTTTTCTTGGACGACAATCCTTTGGACTCTAATACCAGAAATAACGTTTTCGTTTTTATTTGTATACAATATTTTCATCTATTAAAGACCAAGCGTAGCCTATTAGCCTACCAGACCAGCCTAACCTATTAAATACATAAGTGGATGGGTTCTAATAATAATATTTAATGGATGCCCAGGGCCGTAGAGAGAAAATCGGAGCTCGGGGGATATATGGTGACGGCCCCATGATCCATTAATTTATTGAAATTATAATTTATTTATTTCGAAAAAAAATTATTTTAAATGTACCATATGCATATATTTTGTGCCTTCAACGAATATTGTATTTTTGGGTTTCCGCTTATTTTTAGAGCGCCATTAAAAATCCACGCTATCTCTTTTGTGACCACTACTCGACGTCGTTTTTGCCAAAGATTCAGGTGTTTAGATACGAATCTAGCATTGACATAATCAAAATGTGTTGAGTCGATTTTAACACGACAGTTTTCGTGCACTAATCCTTTAACTTTTTTGATGTTGTCATCATTAACAGGGGTGAATGGACAACTCACATGAGAGAAGTTTCCGATGACTTCACGACCTTCACTGAATGCTTTGTGCCACTCAAATACTTGTGTCCGTGTTAGAATAGACTCGCCAAGACGCTTCTGCATTATTTTCAATGTTCTTGTAGCCATGATTTCATTAATATACAAAATTTGATGGACACTTTCCAAGTCGTAGGGTTGCGAATTTTTTAATTAAAAATTTGGAATCAAAAATTAAATTTTCATTTTTTAATTCCGATGTTGGAATTAAAAATGGAAAATTAAAAATATTACTTTTTGATTTGAATGAACACGAAAAAATGTTAATTCTGAAGCAAAACTTTTTTTAATTCTTAATTATTATGCTTAAGATTCAAATTTTTTATTTTATTTTTGCCAATTCGGTAGTAGGGAATAAAATAAAAATAAAATTTATTTTTAATACGGTTTTAGTGTTTTTTTTATTTTTTTATTTTTTAATCCGGTATGCGGGATTCAATTTTTTTTTAATCCCGTATTTGTTAATTAAATTATTTTTTAATGCATTATTTGCAAAACTGGTCGTCAGACAAACCTTTCGCATCATAACAGCTGCTTGACACTAATTGACAGATTGAAAGATCGGATAGTATAAATTAAACATTCTTTATTAAACGAAATAATAAATCGAATGAACAATAAGAACGAAATGTTTTATATATACATTAAATAAAAGGAGATTTGGGGATCTTATTGATTAACTTCTTTCAAAATTTACCACTAGTAAAATATCTTTTAAGTTAAACGGTATATTGACATAAAGTGAACCTCAGGCGTCGAAATGATTATATTAGGTACAAGAAGACTAGACCAACATCTGGACCGATTACAATTACATTAAACTAAAATATATCAAGAAAATACCCAATTTGTATAAGACAACTCACATATTTGGCGACATAAGTCTAGTGAAATAACTGAAATCGTTAAATCAGATATTTGGAGCCTAGGGGAAATACTGCAATCTATTCAATTTAAACGCCACATTACATTCTTATCAGGAAAGGTGCTTACTTAACTTATTTAAGATTTCCCGTAAATTGGACGAAATTTCGTTATAAAGTAATGCATATGTTATTATATTTGGAATCTTGACAAGTCTAAAAAACTCCGATTACGAGGATAGCTTAATTCTTCTTGATTTATCTATTTTAAAGTGCACGAATCGGATGGAATTTGAAATGATGGTATATGAAATTCAACTAGGTTTGCAGTTCGATTTCGCTCATACGGATACAAAGAGAACATTATGTAACCAAATATGGTTGAAATTGGTTCTCAGATAAGGGATTTTACTTTAAAGTCGACAGTTCCATGCCATCTTCAATTGAACTTGCATTAACAAATAAAATTCGATATCTGTGTGAAGACGCCTTAAAATTTATAGACCACTAACAAATATGGTATGAGTATACAGTTTCGGCCAATCATCGAAATTATGTATACATACTCCCAAATTCAATAATGTACAATAATAATAAAAAATATATAAAATATTTAGGAACTCATCTAAGGTCCATAAAAAAAATTTCAAAAAAATATTTCGAGATTGGCAAACAGACATCTTTTTAAAGACAATAACTCATAATTGAAACTCATAATTAAAGTAGCTTAAGCTTGATTTAATCATTTTCGGTTTGAGCAACAACAACAATGCTTTTAAACTTTATTAGTATTAGCATAGGTATAGATTAAGGAACCATTTAATATATATCAATATGTTTGGATTTGATTTAAGCTTAACTCAACGCAGGAAATCGGTTCCAGTGTATGTATATGTATACAATTTTTGTTCAATGATCTCCATGATGTTTGCCAAACTTCTGATTGAGGGTCTTCAAAGTAGTACTGAGCACTTCGGATCACTAGGTTTCAGTAGTTTGTTCCTCCGCTCATTTATCGAACTTAGTAAATATATTATATAATTTGGAATTATGTTCCCCAATTGAACTAAAAGAGACTGATAATCCTTGCTTTTCCTCCCAGCTGAGCAATATTGGTGAAATGGCATAATAGTTATTGCAAAGTAAAAACTTATTTCTTTAAAAAGATTTAATCAAAAGAATGAAATTTTTTTGAAAAATTTTAATTGTTTATCTTTAAATAACTTAAATATTTCATTGCTTTAAAACACATGAAAAAACAAATACCTTCTGAACACTTTATCATATTTCACTATTATCTTTTTTTCCTTTACCGGCATAAAATCACAACCACACACACACATACATACAAACAAGTAAAAATGTACACAGCAAATACGCAAGCTATACGCTTGTTACTTCATTGTCTGCAATGAAAATATGAAAAATATTTTAATATCAATTTAATAATAATGGATTTTCAACCATTTACATATTCCCCTTGTAATTGTAATTTTTTAACGCACTTCTTTTCACCTTCCGCGCCGTTTCGTTGCAGAGCCATTCACCGATTACCGTGTCATTGTCCAGGCGTTCACCATGAAAAACGAAGGCAACCCCTCCGACCAAATTGTACAGCGCACCGATGTCGCCGGCCCGAGTCCACCGTATGTGGTTAACCTGACGTGTCACTCGCAGGACGCCATCGCTATACGCTGGCGGCGACCGCACGAATTTTACAACACCATCGATTTTTATATAATTAAAACACGTGTGGTGGGCCAAGACAACCATCGGGACATACGCATCAATGCGTCGGCAAAGGAGCTGGAAACTGCGGTAAGTCAATGGTGTTGAGTTAAATGCGGTGAATGAAATGCATTATGTGCTGGAAGAAATATATCTTAAGCAGGGCGGTGGAAAATCGCAAGGTACGGAGTTAATTGAAAGGAATCTTAAAAAGATATGGAGGGAAGGAGGCTCTTGTAAGGCTGGAAATAACTTTGAAATTAAAACATTTTTGTAGAAAAAAATTTAATTTTGTTCTTTAGTGAATTTTTACAGGGTTGCCACGTATTTTAACTTATTTTTAGAATTTTGTCGACATTTTAATTATTTTCCTGAAAGTGAAAATTATTTTGGTATTTTTGTAAAACTGTTATCGAGGTCAACATACTTAAATAATTAAGCATTTATATAATTTCTTATAATCCTAAAAGAAAACAAAAGTAGAAAACCAAGTTATTTTTTTTTTTGAGTTTAAGGATCATAAATATCTCTAGCGAATTAAAAAAACTTAAATGTTTTTATGCTAAGTGCAATCCACATGAACAACATATTTTGGGCCAAATTGACGCATGGTTCCCGAATATTCATAAAATAGGCAGTACCACACCCACTATTTAATATTTGATATTTAAAGTCTCTATGTTATTTTAAACCTTATTCTGATATTTCGCGTCTACATCGGAGTTCCCAAAAGACTGGAATGAGAACTTACTTCAAAAACTTTGCTAAATTCTTTCAAAGTTTTTTTTACTAAAACGGGCGTCATCTAACATGCCGATAGCATGATTTTGACGTTTACTAACTAATTGAGTTGTTGAGACCTAAACGCTGTACAATACGTAAACATGAATCGTGTAGAAAACACCCGTAAACTTTTCATATATAAATATCGGTGAACTCATTTCAAATTTTTGTAAAATTGTGTTATCGAGATCAGCATACTTAAATAATTTAGATTTTATGTGATTTCTTGTGTTCTCAACGGCAAAAAAGTAAAAAAACAAGCTTTTTTTGGAGTTTATGGAGCATAAATATATTGAATTAAGAACGAATTAATCTGCTAAAATGCCAAATGTTTGGAACGATCACACTGTTCGAGATCCATGAAACGCCAAAACCATTATTAGGAGTTGTTTTTTGATCGACAATTAAATTGGCTTGTAGATAAAAAAATACACTCACTACAATCTTAACGAAAAGTGGCGACATAAACTGGCCACCTAGATTTCTATATTTTATATCCTCTGCAAGAGTTTGTGCTTGCTTACCAACATAAAATGTGGTGGACTCTGTACATTGACTATTGTATCCTATAGTTTGGTACAATACTGTTCAATAAATAGCTGTAGTGACGATCACATGCACGATTTTTAAAAATATGACTTTTGAGATATATTATAATAAATTTATTTCATAAAAAAGTATCCGTTAAAATTGCAATTCTCAAAATTATTTGTTCATGCCATAGTTATCCATCGTTATTGCCAAATGGTGCTAAACGAATTGTTCCGTTCCAAGGCTGTCATAAGTGCATTATTGGTGCAATTTGCAGCAATAAACGAAAATTTCAATTACATATGTATCTTTTTTTTCCGTTACAGAAATCAGAGAAAATGAAATGTAATACCATTACTATGTCTATATATACTTAAAGTAGATATATGTTTGCTAGTAATTTATAGCTTGCTATTGCACCAAAAACTCAATAGCGCAAACATAAACATAAAGAAATATAGTCCTATAAAATATTTTAAGACTTCAAAATTAAATAAACAATTTCACAGTAGCCACAAAAATCATACAACATATTTGTGTTTGAAGAAAATATGGCATATGGCTGAATAGAAGCTTTCGTAAACTCAAATTTTATTTTTACTATCGTAAATAAGTGAGTATATCTCTCTATGTCGGTGTGTAAAGGACTCAATGCAATATTGCTTTAGGCTAAGCTTTTCACCTTAATTTAATATGAACAAATCTTGTTTCTATAAATATAATATTAATTCAGCCGAGACTTGAACCTCAGACCTAATACAAGTTACCAAAAATTGTTTCAATACAACTTGAAATATAAAAGAGCGCATATACATTTAGAAATATATATACATATACATATAATATATACTCACTTAAATGCTAGAAATCTTTTGCGATTAAATTAAATTTTAAACCACAGACATCTGTATATGTGAAGATTATTGCATATTTTTCGGCGTAGAAACCAAATAACTGCTTTAGTCACACAATTTTGTATGTATATCACATTTATTTCTTTTTCCGACAAACGCCAAACTAAAATAAAGTTAAAATAAAAAAATAAATAACTTTTTCCTCTCACCAATGTTGACGACTATCTTCCTGACTGCGGTTTCAGCAAAAGCAACGAATATGCCAAAAAATAAGTAATACTTTACATATTTACAAGTTTCGTATATTCAAATACATACACATACACATACAAATACATAGGCAAAAACGATACTTTACTTGTAACTCTTCCCTGAGCCACCGACTCAAATTGCAGTAGTTCTATGCACACACACACACGCATTCATATCTTCCGCAGAGTTCAACTCATATTTTCTGATTTACTGATGCTTCTTCTTCTTTCTTTTTGGATTTACTTTGCAGATGATACTACAAAATATAACAACACACACGGAATATGAAGTCAGAGTTGCAGCTGCAACGCTAAGCATAATAAATCCAAAGAAAATCGTACTGGGCAAATATTCCGAACCGAAAAAGGTGAGTACTGAGGGAAAAATATCCGAAAAAAAATCGTATGAATAATTATAATATACAGCCGTAGCTATGTTTACACGTTTGTTATGCCACTTAGAAGAGTTCACATTGTCAGGCACACCGAAATGCTGAAACTTAACTTATACGAACTTACCTTATAACTTACAAAAACAACAACTAAAAACAAACCAAAATTATAAAAAAAATCGCACCATAGATATTTCCATTTGCCACACTAGGACTGTATCTTTCACATAATTTTTTTTGTTTGTTTTTTCTACTCACACGTTTCGACATATTGCTATCTCTCTGAGATATCAGCTGCTTGTCTAAAATAAATTTCATCGAAAAGCTCCGCTAACAGTGTGTGGATATGAAAAAGTTGCAAAAGTTCTGGAGCTGCAAGAAAAAAGTGGAGGAAGATTGTGCAAGAAAGGGCCAAATAAAGGATGAAAGTGTAAAATTGCAATTCAACCGGCATAAAGTTGGCAAAAATATGGATAAAATGTCACGTTAACTAAACTTCGTTTGGCTTTTTTTTTTGTAACCGTTATAATTTTTGTGCTTTCCTTGGATTATGTAGAAAAAAATGTTTGCTACGAAATGGTAGGTGAATGGTGCAAAATATCTCAATTTCATATAATAAAAAAAAGAATTTGTTATTGCACACTCACGAAACCTGTCAACATATTTGGGTCAGCGAGCGTAAGCTTTCGATAAATATTTCAATTTCGCACAAAGCCAAATATTCAGTGACAAGTACGGTATAGTTACAAGATTTTGACTCGAAATGTTGAAATATATGTAGGAATATGAATTATTCGTAAATATTGTTTGCTATTATTTTATACAATTTAGACAAACGGGTAATCGTTCACTATATAAGAACTTAACACTCAAATTTATTCGTTAATCAAGTGGTCAGAAAATAGATGGCTCTGCGATCGTGAAATCTATGATTTTCGTTTTTTATATTTTATTTTTTTAGAATATAAATTTGATTTTTTCTTGAAATTTTGGCATTTTGTAACTGGGCTTTAAAATCACTGTGTGAAGATGAGGTAATCACACGGCATCTCGATGTCCCTCTAGTCTAACCTGAGCTCATTTCTATTATAGATTCGGGTAGCCACTATTCTGTAATCAACCTTTCAAAAACTTTTAAGATACTTTTAGATATGAGTGCTATATTGCATTTAAGCACCTAAATTTCGTAAATCTTACACAACATTTAAATTTGAAGTGAATATGTCCGTCTGTAAAATTATTTTCAGCAATAACAAAGCGATATTTCAATGGTAGCATTTATTGCTAGTAACCCACCTTAAACAAATTCTTTTCCTAAGAATAATTCTAATGCTCTAGAGTTACTATTAAAGGGTTATATTTACTAGCAAATTGCGCTTTTTCGTCAATTTTTTATGCTTGCGTTCTAAAAAAAAAACGATTCAAAGAAATGCGTGCTTGCGGCGTATTTACTTTTTATATTGTTTTTGTTACATGAGAGAAAAAATATTAGAGAAATTTATATCAATATCTAAAGAATTTTACTTCATTGCCTCAACCACTTATTCATAAATAAGCCATTTAATAATATTAATAAATGTTTAATCAGCAGCTTTTAGATATTTTTAGAGGATATTAAATGGATGTAAATAAATAAACAGTTTAAGTAAAATAGTGGCAATAATACAAGCTTAAAAAGCGCTTACACTAGGAAATGCATAAATTATTTATATATTATTGCTCGTGTTATAGAGCATTTCCTATATAGAAGCGCTTGTATATATGTATGTATGAATAAATTTCCACCAAGCTACCTCTGCACCATAATGCGCGTATTTATTCAGGTAGAAAAGTAGGAAATTTTGAAATAGCAATAAACTGCCGTTAGCTCCACTACATGTCAACACAACACATCACATCAATCATCAAACTATTTCACATACTTAAACGCTTTTTTTCTCGGGAAATAGCGGCGATGGCAGTCGCTTAAGTTGTCGCTTTTGCGTTGGTTGGCGCTAATAAAGCGTGCAATCAAGCAACCAACACTAAAAGAGCCATCAACAATAAGTTTTTCACTAAATTATTCATGAAATCAGGAAAATTTCGCGGAAGTAAGCTGAAAGTAGAGTGCTTATATAATATAAATATAATAACTACTTATTATACTCAAATTACCAAATGAATAGAAAACTTTAGAAAATTAATATAAAATAAATTTTAAAAAATTACTAACAGTTGTTGGCGATGGAAAAAGCTCTCTACGGACCAGTGTCATGTCAAAAAAAAATGTTTATGCCACGACCGATCAATTTATTTTACTGTCAAACTTATAGTGCAGGATGTGCTGAAAAATGTTAAGTGTAATTGTGAAATATAAATATTTGTTGGTTTTGCTGATCACAATAACAAATAAACAAATTTACCTGTTGTTGGTCATATTAACTTTCAACAGAAATGCTGACAGGCACTTAGTGCGATGCAATTTAGCTCCTATGCGAACTAAGGCATTAGGATGGTTATTAAATAATGGTATAGCAAGTAACAACATTAACTTTGCTTGCAACGAAGCTACAATACACTTCACAAATAAAAAGTTTCCATATAAGAATTTGATTTCCATCGGTCAGTTTGTACGGCAGCTATTGGCTATACTGGTCGGATATCGGCGTTTCCAAGCAGCTTCTTAGTGGGAAAAGCACGTTTCAAAGCGACATCTCAAAAACTAAGGGAATAGCTCGCGTATGTATATACAGAATAACGGACAGATGGACATGGCTAAATCGAATCAGCAGGTCACGCGTGTCATATATATAGATTTATGTATATATTTCTTTCGAGTGTGGCAAAGTTCGTGGCGAACTTAATATACGCTGTTCAGGGTATACCAATATGTACACTGAATTTTTAACCCGAATTCCTTCTTTTGAACATGAGGATTTTGGTTTCCTTATATACATTTATAATCAAAGACATCATATAGAAATCTTGTTATAAGGGAGCAAAACCATATTCCATATATTATATATTTGAAACTATTTTTGAAATATTTTTTTGATTCGAAAAACAAAATTTTTATAACGAAATTTTTTAAAGATCTATTTATTAAAGATCGAAAGATATTAAAACTCAAAAAGTATTAATTTTTATAATTAAAAAAAAAATCAATCAAAGAGCATTAATGTAACCCGAGCTTGATTTTTGTTGATTCAGTATTACCTTATGTATGTGATATATTCAAATTCGATATCACCGATTATAAGGGTGGGAAAGAAAGCGGATTTGTTAGAGATATTCAAACACCATCCTAATGTGCGTACACGTATATAGTTATATGTATAAAATAACTGCAAACAAAAACTTAAACCCACGCTCAGACAAATTTTCATATTCATGTTTCAATTTTTTTTCAGTTCTTCGTAGTTATCTTACGTCACCACTCTGCACCGCATCTCTGCCGCTGACAACTTATGAACATGCAATATATTTTGAAGCGTAATTTTCCACATTTTTCATATTTGTTTTATTTTAACCCACGTAGCGGTTACCGTAACGATGTTGCACTCCACACACACGCGCACACACTTACCGTTATGCTCATGAACCGAGCAATTTTTATAACCGCTACCACAGCTTTAATATCCTGTTAGCAGTGCCGCAATTGGGCTTCCACGCCACCTTAAAAATATGTAAAACAGTTGTTTCATGCTTTATCTTGTTGTTGTATTTTCTGTAGTTGTTATTTTAATTTTTTGTGCAAACAAAAGTTCCTCATAATCCTTCAGCATACTTGACGCGACCGGCTGCTGCTGCCACTTGTACAAATTTATATAGTTTTGTTGCCGTAAGGTATGGCCGGAATGCGTTGCGCTTGTAGTTGTTTTGCGCCTTTTAGCATGTGCCTGTTTTATTGCCCGTTTGTGTGGCACGTCATTTCCTACGCGCTGCTTCCATATCCATTTGCTTTCTTTTTTGACGCTAAGCAACGGCTCAACCATCAAATCACCGCAAACAACCGCTTTAGCGCTTGCGTAGGAGTTGCCATAGTTTCAGCCGCAGCTTCTGAAGCCGTTAGCGCTTCTCGACTGCCGGGATGATCGCTCGTTGCTGGTCGGTTGCGTCCACCGTCTAATGTTTGTAGTAATATTTTTTCTTACGTATGACTCATACATCTAACGGACAACATGCTCTGCTAAAAAGCCATATAATATGCCCTAATGATGTTTATATACAAGCAGATGCGCTCCTGCTTCGTCGCTTATAGCAAGCTGGGTTCTTCCTTCGCATCACACGCGCATTTCTATTTATTTAATTTTTTTTATGGCTTTTTGTTGGTAACCTTCTTGCGCATAAATCTCTGCCACTTCCGGTCATGGTAGCCTTCCGCTGCCGTGTTGTGTTTCCGTTTCACTTAGCAACCGCCATTGATGCCAGCAAAAACAAAAGTTAGCTTACTCGCCGCCTGCTCTCGCGCGCATTTAATTTATTCTTTCGCATTTTCAACAATAATTTCGTACTCTAAATAGCGCACTCGGCTTTGGTTTCGGTTGCTTGCACATTCAAATTTGTGGCAGTTACGTGACAGTTGTGTTGACATTTGCGATTAACCTTGTATTGCTTTAAGCATATACTTGTATTCATGAGAATAACAAAAGCAGAGAGTGCGAAATTATATAAGTATTAAATCAAAGATAATTAGATGTCGTATTTAGAATTTCACTTTATATTATCAGTATTGTTATTTGTAAGGATTTATACTATCTTTTTAGATCCATATCGAAAAATATTTCCGTTTTGAGGTTTCATATTATCGATATTTTATTCTGACGGTTTCTCTATTCCTCGGTAATATCTGATCCTAGACGGGTTGATTTCCCCCATTGATTATCTTCACACAATGTGTCAATTCAAATAAATATATTTTAAAAACTGGTTGTACATATACCGATGTAACTGCTGATCAATTTACTTGAGAGCTATATATTCTCTTCATTACATAGATATATATATAGGTTATTGCTTTGAATAAAATTTCTGTTCTGTGTCCCAGCATAACATGAGAAGAAGAGGCGTGAATCGATAGTGACTTACCGAACAGAAAAAGTTACACAAAAAAGGGATTTAATTAAAGTGGCATAGTAATTAAATACATTTTAAATAAATTAAACTTCTAAAATTTGATTAATATTAGTAATAGTATATATTTAAAAATATATGAAATAATTACAAAATTGTATGAATTTAAAATTTTTAGATTTTAAAGAATTCAAATTATATATATTTATATTATATTTTTCAGATATCTTTACATCCCAACTGTGAAAAGATTCAATCACTTCTACGCCAATCCCATAATGACTATAATCTTGCTGTGCTCGTTGGAATCATATTTAGCTGCTTCGGCATTGTGCTCATCGTAATGGCATTCTTTTTGTGGAGGTAAGTGGTGCTCCTGCATATACATTTTTGCTAAAATTATTCACTAGAAGTAATTAGTAATTAAATAATGTAGATAGACGTTTTGACTTTCCGCGCTAATTCAGCTCCTGAGAATGATGGCTAAATAAAGTGCTGAATTTTTGCTGATTAAATGTCAATTATCATTCTCATTAGCAGAATATCGCTACAAATGTCAAAGTAATAGAAATGCCATATTGAAATTTTAAAGGGTTTGATTTAATATTTCATTTTACTTCGCTGAGTGTCAGAAAGTTTAAATATTTGTTCTGCCTTAAAAACTAAATTTAAGGCTAATTTCCATTGAATTGCGGTGACAAACCGAATAAGTTCATAAATAAAACAACAAACACTTTATAATAAGTAATTCTCTGATATTTTACAAATATTCATTAGTTGAAAATGTCTTCAATAAAATTTTATTAGTTTTGAAAATCCAAAGATTCTTACAAAAAGATAATTTCTTATATTATATATACACATTTATTATATAAAAATATATGTACATATAGTTAGTCTTATATACATATATGCGCCCTGAGTTAGTTGTCACTTCAAATTCACGCACAGTTTCTTTTGACTAGTTCAGAGCCGTTCGTTTAATGTGAACTTCAAAAACGAATCTTCTTGTTCTCCTTCTAAAGTGTAATATTTCGCTTATATTGCTTAAGACTTGGAAATATTTAAATTTCATATAAGGGGCGACAAAAGGGGTGTCTAATAGCACTTAAAGTGTGACACTTGAAATTAAAATGCTAAAAAGATAAAGATATTGCAACACAGTTTTTATGACATTGAGAACAATTTACTGCCTATACTATAGTATACAGCACTTTAAAAAGACAATACAATTTATAAATTCGTTACTATCTTGGCTCATAATGTTGATAGAAGTATACTATATAAAACTTTTTATATATATATATTTTTTTTATAAAAATTATTTGCAATTTAAAAAAACAATTTCTCTCTGATTACACTTGCAAATTTGAAAAAAAAAACTTTTTTATTTTGTCAATTTCTTTTTTTCTTTTTTTGTTTTAATGTGCATTTACTAAATTTAATGTACTAAACTTTACTATAAAATTAATTTTGAAAAATTTAGTATCCCCTTGAATCCGTGGCCAATCTAGAGGAGTATCTTAATAAAAAGGTGCCGGGCGGTGCGGAAGATGAGCGTAGGACTAGTCAAAATTTTGACTTTTGACAAAATGATAGCTTCCAAAAAAAAAGTCGATTTTGGGAACATATTTATTATTATATACATATATTTATCCGAGTGACTTGAAAAATCGAAATTATTAAAAATCCTGAAAAATATATATCTAAGAAGATATTTAGAGATGTTCAATGCAAGTATGAAGCTGATCCGGCATATAGTTTCGGAGATATAAGCGTGTTTGTAAGATATTTTTGACTTAGTGACCAATTGTTCCCAAAATTTTATACGCTCGAAATGCTGTTTTTAGAATCGTTGAGAAAAATTTACCAGTTAAACTTCAAATTGAATATTTTCCTCTATATAAACTTTCCAAATATGCGAAAAATAAAATTTCACAAGTTGATACTCGTATAACTATACTCTTTCGACAACACCAACCAAAAACATAAATATTTACAAATATTTTTGCTATATAAGATCCAATATTTTTATTATTAATTCTTTTTAAATACTTGTATTTTACAAAATTAATTATTCTCCCCTAAAGGTAGCCGTATAGTAGACATCCTTTGTACACAGCACTTTCGCCGACAAAGCCAAAGCGTTCAAGCAAAACCAGTCCCAAGCGCACTCACTTCAACAATTCAAGTGCTCTTTGTATTTATGGCAACTTTCTCAAAAACTTAGTTGTTTATTATAGTTTCAATATTTTTATTGCACTCCATCGTGGCGTTTCATAGTGACTAAGTTGCATTTTCGTAAAATATTTGTAAAAAAAAATATTAAATCAAGAAAAGCAACAGCATGAAAATTGAATAATAAAAAAATATTTCATTTAACCCTTCAGTTCAAAGAAGCGCATTTGGACAAAATTTCAATACTTCAGCTCGTCGATTGCTGTGTAAATTGGTGAACGTGGCAAAGAAAACGCAAAATCATCAACTAATTGCATTACTCCTACTGATTAAATACTTTACAATTACAACCATACACGAGTATATTTTATTGCTTATATAACTTATATACTTAACATATAACTTATATACATACAGATATATAGTACATAAGTGCGTTTGTCAGAAGGATATAATAAGAAAATTAAGCCCGCCTTAGAAGTGTACTGCAAATAGGCAGCTGCTCTGGCGAAAGGTTAAACAAAAACAAGTGGCTGGTCAGCAGAGAGGTTGGAAAATATTGCAGAAAGCTTTGAAAAAGCGGGAATTTAAATTAAAGGCTTCTTCGAGACAAGCCAATGGTGCACTTACATTTATGTTGATAAAATACACTTCAGTTTTAATGAAAGCCACTACTGTAGATAGTAAATGGGAAATATGTACCCTCTGTTATGCGGGTAGTCCAATTAGTGAATTGAAGGGGGAATTGTTATACAACTGCAGTGAAAGAATAAACAAATATATACATATATACTTGTTATTATAATTTTAATTAACATTACTGATAATTGGGTGTAGTAAAAATAAATCCATTATTTTTCCAATAGATGGCGTTATTTATCTGCATCTCGATTTGTATAAGTCCGATCGGGCTTAGCTTTTCTAACAGTTTTGTGATTGGTTGATTCAGTTTTGTTTAAGCGCGCATCAAAGATAAACACTAGCAAAGGGAAAATAGCTATATTTTACAGTTTTTCCTCGATAAGGGCGAAAACGCAAGCCAGGCGGCTGAAAATGTGAATAGCGTTTATAGTCCTGATACTGTAACAGCCAATCACGCGCAATTTTGGTTTCGTTGCTTCCATTCCGGTAAATTCGAAGTCAAAGATGCACCACACTCTGGAAGACTAATTATCGAAAAAATCGATCAAATAATGGTAATCGCCGAGTCCAAACATCGATTACGATTGTTTAAGCATTGATGTCGCAAAGGCGGCACAATGAAAACGGAAATATGGAGGTGTTGAGATGTTTCTACGTCATGTTATTCCAAACAGCTTTTATAACTGGCATCTGGTAAGATTCATGCTTTACCGCATGAACACCGATAAGTCAAGTGATCAGTTAGAACCCTTACATTTAAGCATAGCCTGAACTTGCTGAGAGCAAAGAGCCCACTAGACCTCTTGCGATCCACATGAACTATGTTAAAAGTAGCCCAGCGCTGGCCAAGCTCCCGTGAAGCCCAACTATGCAGAAGTGAAACTCACGAAAAAAATGTTAACTCCGACCCGTTATCATTCTACTGATAGTGAGATTAAGATGACTGTTCTTGCTAGCTATATACTAACAAAACAATGGCTCTAGAGATATGGTCGATGAATTTTTACGATTTCTTCTTAATGTCTATATTAATCGAAGAAAAATTGTAAAATATAGCGAATTTTCTCTTTGCTGGTGTCCATCTTTGACGAGCGCTCACAATGTACTGAGTCAATCAATCGGAAAACTGTCAAAAACAAACTTTTAGCGCGAATAAACGCGTTTTCAGTATGACATGATGCGACACGTAACATTGGTGCTATGGACAATAACGCCATCTCTTAGATAAAAACCGAACTTTTTACTTGACCTAATATATACCCCTGCGGGCAGGGGATAGAATATGCCCGCGGCAAGGCATGCCTGTCGTAAAAGGCGACTAAAAGCCAATATGCACTATGACTGTTATTATATTCTTTGCCCAGTAATATCAGCATAGTATATGGAGTGATAGTGCTATAATACTCAGCTTGAACTGATATTAGAAACACTTTAAATGAAAAAGCGAATAAAAAGACATTTGAAGTTCAAGCGACAAATGTCACCAGTCATTTGAGTAATGGGTAGCTCAACTGGCAGTAGTTTAGGCTACGCAGTCTGACCGGAGACTTTCCGGTACCACGGGGAGCAGAAAGCCCTTGGACTTCTGTTCAATCTGCTCATTGGGTTCGGCCCTTTGGGGAGTATCGTGGTGGCTGTGGTTTAAACCTAAATGCTGGAAGAACTGAATTTTCAGTTCGAAAAAAGAAGTTACACAAGTAACTGGGTGCCGTACCCGAAAACGGAAGAGGTTTTAGGTCGGCCTCGAATCATACCAAGATGGTAGTGTGGACCCAGACACACTGCCACTGGTATCCAAATAAATACTTGCATAAGCTCGTATTGTTTGGGGCGCTGATCAACGCATTGTATTGATCCGTTGTGTTTTGAACACCGTGAGGTAAGGCCGTCGCCGGCAGGTACTCACGTAAATCTACAACGAAAGTGACCTAATATATACATAAACTCCCTATGTGGGAGGTTTTTCAAACTCACCTTGTTTTACAATCGAAAGAACGTAATATCTAATCAACATTACTGCTCCTGTATTAATTATTTTATATAGAATAATATTGCACATTTTTGGTATAGTTTTAATAGGTACAAATATTTCCTTTTAGATCGTCAAAGATCCGAATAATGCTGGAGTATACTTTGGGTAGACAGTAAATGTCATTTTTTTTTTTTGTAAATAGACGCTTCTTTGATAACTTGTTCTCAGACAGCTTCAGTGAGTTCAGTCAAACGTCTTGCTAGTTCACGATCTCTCACTCAAAATTTCGACACGTAATTGTCACAGTTATTCATTGCCGATATAAAAGAAGGCGCGGTCTGTATTCTTTTATTTTTTTTCTTCAATTTCAAAATATTCTACTTACATTTATAAAATACTGTCAACTTCTATTACTACACCAATATTCCACCAACTTTTGAAAAAAATATTCATACATATTTACATTTCCATATCCATGTAACGGTAACCACTTCATCAAGCTTACATTCAAAATTCTTTACCTCAAAACAAAAAAACCAATCAACTTTATTTTCTTCACGTCATTGCACAA